TTTAATATAGGAAGTCAGAAGCGAGACTAGATTTCTTACCAAAATCTGTCTAAAACCACTACCACTGCTTTTCTTGTCAGGGGGTGTGTGTGGGGGGGGAATTTTATGCACAAGTGCCACCTCCAGTAGCAGCACTTTGGCAGCTGTAGACCCAGTTACACACCCTTTGGGTGGTCCTGGCAGGGGAAGGGGTTCTACTCATATCTAGCGGGTAGAGGGCAGGAATGCTGCCCCGCACCCCACAATGCATAGTCCAGCCCCCACAACACAGCGCTGACTGGGTCCGAGAGCAGAAACCGAGAACGCCTGCTTTAGCACATCCCCGGATGATTCTTCATCCTTTCTGGACTTCCACTGGTCTGAAAGATCTGGGACCTAGTCATCCAAGAGTTTCAAAAAGGAACAACTGAACCCCATTTTCACGGTAGGTCCCAAGGTCAGGGTTCACGGCACAAAACTGAGAGACGTGGGCAGCGGTTTCCTACCTGGTCACCTCTAGGGTCACTCTCCCAATCCCCACCCCACTCTGTCTACTGGAAGGAGTCCAGGGAGTGAGGAGAAGATGCCTGAGGGCCCAGTGCTTAACATCCCCCCAAAGCCAACTCCGGCAGTGCCCAGCTAGGTTCGTTTTCGGCTGTGACCACAAGGTGGCACCACAGCCCACTGGGAGGGCTTAGACTGGGCCTGGGAGCACCACAGCAGAGATGCGACCGGCCTGGACCTGAGCCCAGAGGCTGGACTGGGGCCAGGGCCAGAGCCTAACAGGATCCGATCTAAGACCTGAAGTGCCAGGTGTGAGAACATAAGCCAGACTTGGCTTCAGACTTCCTTCACCTTATTCCTAGTCCACCCCAGTGACAGCTCATCACTAACCGTTCCCACCAGAGCTTAAGGAAGCCCAGAACTGGCTCCCCTTAGTTTGAACAAGAGAAGCCTCCCCACCTCCCCCGCCACCCCCAGCGGAGGTGTTAAGAATCTAGGGCTTATTATTACATGGATGTAACCACAAAGACCTGAGGTGTGGGGAAGTTGAGCAACTTGCTCAAGGTCATAGTCGATTCTGGAGTTGGGGCTGCAACCTGGCTGCCTGGTCCTAGGGCCTCTTCCCCTAAACACTGGATAATAAATACTTCCCCACCAGAGTTCTCTGTGTGGCCCCTTTAGTCACAGATGCCCAGGACCCTCCGGATGGGATCATAAACCTTCCTCTGAAAAAGGAGGAGCAAATCATCTTGAAAAAAAGGCGGAGTGGGGGTTGCTTAAAATGGAGCAGGAGAAAGATCCCAGCTTATTCCTATGCTCTGGGCATTGGGTGGGTGGGTAGGGGTACGTGGTTATGGGCGGCTGGGGGTGGGCAGAAGTTTGGCTTAGGCAGTAATTCTTCCTCCCTGCCCTCATTTCCCTAGGTCTGTGTTTTGTTTTGTTTTTCTGTGTTGCCCTCTTTGGATTTTTCCTAGGCTGTCTGCAAATGCCAACCTTCTTATAGTGTGAAAAGGAAGTGTGAGGAGGAACCTTTTGGTCCTTGCTTTGGTTAGAGAAGGGAAGGGCGTCCTCGTGGGGGAGGGGGAAGCCTGGGGTGCAGGGGCATCAGGATCATGGTGAAAATTCTAAAGTAGGACAGTCTCCCACTTGGGATGCTCCGAGACTGTTGTCTGCCTCTTGCTGGGGTGGGTTTTCAGGTGCCAAGGCCCCCTTCCACATCCCCTCCTCCTCCAACCCACATCCTGCTTCTCTTTTCCTTGCAGGGTCAAACCTCAGCAGAGTTCTTGCTCACCCAGCCTCTCCTCCCAGGGACACTCTGCCTCTCTCTTCCCACCTTTTCTGTTTCACCCCTTCCCCCATCCAGTGAGGCATTCTTCAGTCCTCCACTAAGGCTGCCCATGGGCTGGGGCAGATGCTATTCTGTCTCCCAACAGACCCTGGGTAAGTCTTTCTTGACTCAGTCTTGGAGCAGGACTCCAGACCCACCGGAACCCTAGGATCCAGCCCCTCTTTTGGTCCTTCTTAAATCTTCCAGCCCTTAACTGGGAGTTACTGTTGCTCAGGGAACTGGGGGTGAGGGAGAGCAAGCCCTGGAGCTGCTGACTGTCCTTTCCCACAAATGAGGCTCCACATGGAAGTTGGGGAGTCATACTCTGATTCAGCACAGTCCAGCAGGCGAAAGAAGATAAGGAGCCCCAGATCTCCCTTCCCGAGGGAGAAGAGGGGCTGGAGGTCTAATGTGGAAGGAAGAGGGGGTCTCCTCATCTCTCCCTATTTCCACATCTGTGCACACGTATCCCTCTCTCCAGGCACATCTCTTTCTCCTCCTTCCAAGTCTCCATGGCTCTGTTCTATCACCTCCTTGGATGGGACAGAGTTTATTTGAGTCTGTGGGGGTGGGGAGGTGGGGAGGTGGGGAGAACAGGGTGCTGGCCTGAGTTGGGGAGCGGCTGAGCCACAGTGGGCCCAGCCTGCTTGTGGCCCAGACACTGGGCTTGGAGTGGTTAGAGGGAGACTCCTGTCCATGCCTGGCTGGAGGATGGATGGGAAATGGCTCCCATGGATGAAGTGACGCCCATCAGTCCCTGCAGAGAGGTCTCTCCTGGCCCAGACTCCAGCTTTCCTTCTGCACCTGTCCTGTTTTCACCCTCACTCCGCCTCTCTGATCTCTCCCCTTGGTCCTCCTCCTGCCCCTCCGCTCTTTCCCTTCCCCGGACTCTTCCCCACCGTCTCCATTCTCAGCACTGTTCCCACTACACGCAGATTTCCCCAGGACTGGACTGGAAATTCTGTGGCCAAGTGTGAGGAAGGAGATGACTGCAGCCCAGCCTTGTCCCCAGGCTCACACCGGGGTCCGTGGGTCACTGCAGAGGGACCATTGCCTGCACCCATTAGCAAGTGCCAACAGGTAGGTATGAACGGTGCATCTTCTTAATTAAATCGCCCTTTGCCCAGGAAGCTTGGCGTTCGATTGGGGTGGTGTAGGATCAATAAGTTTCTTTCCCTGTGCAGCCACCCCCAGGAGGCAGGAGCTGGGCCTGACCTTCTCAGCCCTGCAGGGAGCCCATCTCTCACTTTCCCACATAGCCTGGGAGGCCCTCAGAGGCAAGGTCCCGTTGCCTGAGACAGAGCCTGGAACCAGCAAAGCCATGGCTCCATTGGGCAAACTGAGGCCCGGGCAGCAAACACCGGCCAGGCTGACTTGAAGGTTCATATTGCAACTCCCAGCCCCCAGGTTCAACTGAGGAGCCCTGGAAATCACTGCAACTGGCTGTGTGGCCTTTCAGGTCACCTGATCGTGGCTGAAGCCTGGGAGAGGGCAGCAGTTGGTCCTTCTGACCTCTAGGGATGAACAAAGGTCCTTTTCAGGAGCCCCGGCTCCTAGGAAGTCAGGGCCACAGCAGCAGGACCGTGAGCTGGCGACAAAGTGACAAGTCGGTGGTACTGGGGGAACCAAGACCCCTCTGGGGTTTTGAAAGGTTCAGGGGTTAGTGAGATTGTCCAGGGGAGTGGACCATAGGGTTGGAGAGGGTTTAGGGGACAACGTGCACCTGTGTGCATTGGTGGTGGTGGAGTGTGTGTGTGTGTGTGTGTGTGTGTGTGTGTTGGGGGGCGGGGGGAGGGTGGGATGTGTATTATTTTGAAGGCCATGCGAGAGGTTATTTGGGAAAGGAACTGGGGGGCTTCCAGGTTCCGTGGCAAGAGTTGGCATTAGAGAGCTGCTGGGAGCGGGTCCGAGTCCAGGTGTCTCCGAGGAGGTCGGGGGTGAGGCAGTGCCCCCAGTTTAGAACGAGAGGGGCGGGCGGCTGCCCACGTCCTTCTCACCCCGCCGCGCGCCCCCGGGGCACGGGCCTAGACGTCTCCCGGAGCCCCCGCCCCTCCAGGGGCGCTCCCCCGAGGGCGGAGCGTCGGCGGGTCCCCGGGGAGCCGCGGGAGCCCTGCGGGGCGGGCGCCCCCAGCGCCGAGGTAGAGGGAGGCCGGGCTCGGCGCGGGGCTGTGTGTGGGGGGGGGGGAGGGGGGGGCGCGGAATCAGGGCTTTTTAGGACCCAGCGCGGCACCTCCCTCCGGGGGCGAGTGCGGCTGCGCGCGCCGTGTGCCCGTGTCCGGAGAGCGGCGGGCTGGACGCGGAGCGCGCGAGCGAGCGAGCCAGCCGGCCCGAGCCAGCAGCCCGGGCGGCAGCAGCGTCGCGGCGGCGGCGGCGCCTCGCTCCCCTCGGCCTCGCCGGCTTCGCCTCGCCGCGCCCGGACTCGCCACCCCCGCCTCCCGGGCCCGACCAGCGCGGCGCCCGGCGCCCGCCCGCAGCGGGGCGCGGGAGCGCGGGGCGCAGAGGTACGGGAGCCAGTCCCCCCGGCCGCCCCGAGAGCCCCCCGGCGCAGCGCCGCTCCAGCCCGGGAGCTGTCCCTTCAGCACCGCCGCGGGGAGCGCCGGAGCCCGGCCCCGGGCGCCACCGCGCGCAGCGCACCCCGCGCGCCCCGGCCCGGGGGGCCCCGCCATCGCCTCCGAGAGGCGCGGAGAGAGAAAGAGAGCGAGAAAGAGACAGACAGACAGACAGACAGACAGACAGACAGAGAGGAGGGCGGGCGGGCAGGCGCGCCCGCCGCCGGGGGGAGAGCAGGCAGCCAGGCAAGGAGAGAGGGAGGGGGCCCCCAGAGCCCGCCCTGCGCCCCGAGAGCTGCAGCCCAGCCGCGCAGGAAGGCGGCGAGCATCCATCTCCCCCACCCCAACGCCGAGAGCACGCTGCAGCGACCACCGTCAAGCAGAGCGCGAATTTCCCCCGGAAACCCCCCACCTACCCACCCACCTCTCCACTCCTCTCTCCACCCTTTTTCCCTCTTCCGGAGGGGGCTGGTCTCTCTGTACTTGCGGGGCGGGGGGGACCCCCGGGGAGCCGCTGACCTTCCCCTTCCACCCTCCCGGCCCCGCCAAGCTTTGTGTTGATTGCTCCGTTTCCCCCATTGAGATGGGGACGGCAGCCCGGCCCCCCCACCCTCTTCGCTCTCCTCCCGGGGCGCACAGCTGAGCGCCGCCGCACCCCCCCTCCCCTGCGCTCTCCTTTCCCTGCTGCTCCCTCCCTTTCTTCCACCTCTGCCTCCTCCGCAGCCGGACCAGCTCCCTCCCACCTCTGGCGCCCCAGAGACCCTCGAGATCCCGCGCACACTTCCCCACCCACCCCGGACCGGACAGGAAAAGGAAAAAGCGACCCGGAGGAGGAGAGAGGGGGCCGGGAGGGGGTGGGTCACTCGCGGGGTGACCCGAACCCGCGCTCCCCGGTTCCTCCCGACGGCTCGGGAGGGGGGAGGGGGGAGGAGGCCGCGTAGCCCCCCTCCCCGGTGCCGACTCCCCCTGGCGGCCGCTCCCATGGGTGTCGCGGGGCCGCGCCATGCCTAAGGGGGCGCCGCGATGGGCCAAGGGGACGAGAGCGAGCGCATCGTGATCAACGTGGGCGGCACGCGCCACCAGACGTACCGCTCGACGCTGCGCACGCTGCCCGGCACGCGGCTGGCCTGGCTGGCCGAGCCCGACGCCCACAGCCACTTCGACTATGACCCGCGCGCCGACGAGTTCTTCTTCGACCGGCACCCGGGCGTCTTCGCGCACATCCTGAACTACTACCGCACAGGCAAGCTGCACTGCCCGGCCGACGTGTGCGGGCCGCTCTACGAGGAGGAGCTGGCCTTCTGGGGCATCGACGAGACGGACGTGGAGCCCTGCTGCTGGATGACGTACCGGCAGCACCGCGACGCCGAGGAGGCGCTCGACAGCTTCGGCGGCGCGCCCCTGGACAACAGCGCCGACGACGCGGACGCCGACGGGCCCGGCGACTCGGGCGACGGGGAGGACGAGCTGGAGATGACCAAGCGCCTGGCGCTCAGCGACTCCCCGGACGGACGCTCCGGCGGCTTCTGGCGCCGCTGGCAGCCGCGCATCTGGGCGCTCTTTGAGGACCCCTACTCATCCCGCTACGCGCGGGTAAGTGCGGCGGGCGGGCGGGTGGGCGGGTGGGCAGCGCCCCGCTGCGTCCCGGCAGCGGGCTGGGCACGGAGAAGGGGCGCGTGAGGGGGACTTGAGGAAGGCGAGGGGGATGGGGGAGTGTGCGCAGGGGTAAGAGGGGCCGGTGCGTTCCCGCCGCGGGTGACCCGTTTTGCACGGGTATTGGCGGCTGGGGTCTGTCCTGTTTTAGCACGCTTGTGTGTTGCTGAATGGGTGTGTTTGTGCGCGCGCGTGTGTGCGGCTTGCGGGCATGTTTATGTAAGTGTGATGGTGTCTGGGTGGGTGAAGCGTGTAGGGGGCAGAGAGCGAGCCTGTGTGTGTGTGTGTGTGTGTGTGTGTGTGTGTGTCTGTGCGCGCGCGTGCAAGTGAGCATGGGTGTGCTGCTGCGTCTTCTTGCGTACCTTTGCAGATGGGAAGGTATGAAGTGCCCCCTTAGATTTCTGGTGTGGGGAGGGGGATGGGGCGCCCCCCCACTCGGCCTCCCAGGTCAGAGCCCGCTGAGGAGGCCCTGCGGCCTGCTCTGCGGCTGGAGACACACGCTCTTGCCCCCCAACCTGAGCAACCCCAGGCCCTTCTGGGGAACCTGCCAGGGGCATTTCTCCGGCTAAGGAATCCCGCGGGGGTGGGTGGAGGGCTGTTCGCGGGGAGGGGACGCGGGGATCCTTCAGAGAGGACTCCCCGCATCAGACGCTCTCTCCTGCTTCCGAATCCGAGGGGAGGGGTCCAAGGGGAGGGCGCCGGGCTTTTGCCTGTGCCTCTGGAGAGGGTCTCTGTGGGGAAGCGGCCCGGGGAAGGCCTGGGAGAGGTGGGCGTGTCTTCGCCAGCCACGCCCCTTCGGGGAAGCTTGTTGCAGGGGAGAAAGGGCATCCTGCGGCTGACCTTGGCCCCTCTGAGAGCCCTGCTAGGTCACTCTGCCCATCAGAGAAACGTGAGCGGTGAGCGTGCTGTCTGAGAAAGCGAAGGGGCTTTGCTGCCTGCCCGAACCCAGCAGCTATCTGCCCTGAGAGAGGCGCTTGGCCTTCACTGGCTCGACCTCAAGAGGCCTCAGCAGAGACTAAGGCCTGGAGGTGGGGGGCACAGGGGGGAGGCCAGCATTTACTGCAGGGCCCTTACCCCCGCTCTCAGCTCTACTCCGTGCCCTACCAGGGCACACATGTGTCTGCAGCTCCTCCTATACTTCCCTCCATTTCTTCTCTCTTGCCCACTGGGGTTCAGCTACCCAGCTGTAGAGGACCCCCCCACCCCCCGGCAGGAGAGGGGGGTGGACCGCTGAGGTGGCTGAGATGTTTGGGTACAGGCCCACGGTAGATTTGCTCCTGAGATGAGCATTATTGCAGCCTGTGAGAAAAGATAATGGGTCCAAGTCTTAGTGCCTGGAACAGGTGGTGTGTGTGTGTGTGTGTGTGTGTGTGTGTGTGTGTGTGTGTGTGTGTGTTTTAGGAAGAGAACCAAGTCCCTCATTTTGCCACTGAGAACCCTGACCAAGGTCACCCCTGGGGGAGTTAGAGGTCCAGCAGGATGGAACCCCAGTAGACTTCATCTTCTCCTGAGCCATCCACCCATCCGTGCCTTTCCCCAGAGTGGACTCTGGCCCCCTGAAGTCTCCCTTGCCTCCCCTCTCCTGACCAAGGCCCCCTGTCGCCTGGGATTATGTAACTGGAGGCTGTGGCCGAGTCTGGGGAGGGCTGGAGGAGGGGGACGGAAGGTTCAGACGGCCTTGCTGAAGGGGGTGGCTTATGGGCCAAGGAGGCCTGGTCAGGACAGCTGCCCTTCTCACCCTGTTTGACCTTGGGCAGCATCTCACGCCCCTTAGCCCCAAGAAGTCTGCCCAACTTCCTCACTAGCAGAAACTGGGCGTTCCCTCCACCTGGCTTCTTCACCCCTGGGGCTCAGTTTCCAGGTTCTGCCCTGGGTCCTGGTTTCAGGTTAGGTTTGCTCCAGCCCCGCTCCCACCTATCTCACCTCTTGCTGACTAAGGGTCACCTGCTGACTAGTACCTCCCCAACCCGGGCAGATAACTTACTTCTGCGTCTCCCCAGAGATTGTGCACGAGGAGCAGACTCTGGGAGGATATTGGGGCAAGAGATGAGAAAGGGGACACAGGGGCTAGAAAGAAGGTGCCCCTACCCCCACTTCTCTGTGGCCTCACAGAGTGTCTCCCCTGGGTGACGTATGCGGACAGAGGCCCACAGGGTGAGGAAGCTGCCCAAGGGCACAGGAGCACCGAGGGCAGAGCCTGGATTAGAACCCAGGTGCCCTGTGCACGCCCGCCCTGCTGGCCTAGCTGCATTGCGCTGCCTCGCTGCGGCTCAGGCTCATCTGCGCAGAGACCAGCCCGGAGCCCTCCCCCTCTGCTCTGCTGCCCGCTGCTTCCCTCACCTTTGTTTCCCCTCTCCGGGCAGTCCAGCCTTCCTCAAAAGGGGCTTAATTCTCCATTCTAAATCACATCCTGTTTGTTTGCACCATTGTTTAAGTGTGTGTGGAAATTAAAGCTCTACCCGTGAGAAAGAATCTGTGTAAGAGATCAGTGGGGTATGAGGGAACTTCATGTGTGTAAGGAAGATTGTGTGTAAGGCTAAAAATAGGTGTGAGACTCTGAGTGTGAGGTGTGTGTGTGTGCATGTGTGTGTGTGTGTGCACGCGCGCATGTTCATGTGTGTGAACTTGGACTGATTATGTGAGGGGACTCTGTGAGTCTCTGAACCAGAGAAATTCTGTGAATGTGAGCGAGAGGGAGACTGTGTGTTTTGAGAAATGGACTTGGTGTGTGAGTATGAGACTGCGTGGGAGAGAGTGCGTATATGGAAAAGAGAGAGCGAGAGAGAGAGAGAGAGAGAGAGAGACTACATGTGTAAGAGAGAGGCTATGTCTGTGTGTAAGAGAAAGCTTGGAGTGTGAGAGGCTCGAGGTGAGCGTGTTGCTGTGAAGCTGTGATGTGGAGCTTTGTGGAGACTGTGCAAAGCTGTGTGTACAAGTGTGTGAGAGGCTGTGTGCAAGGCTCTGTGAGATGTGTGTGAGAAACTTTAGGTGTGTTGCTGTGTAAGAGTCTGTTTGCAAGGCTATGTGTATGAGGATGTGAGGGGTTGTATTTGAGAGTCTATGTGTATGAGGACATAAGGGGATGTGTGTGAGAGATTGTGTGTAGGAGGGTGTGAGAAACTGTGAGAGACTGTGTGTGTAAGGGTGTGAGGTAGTATGTGTGAAAGGTTGTATGTGTGAGAGGTTGTGTGTGACAGCCTGTGAGTATGAGGGTGTGAGGGACTGTATGTGAGAGGCTGTGTGTGTGAGGGAACAAGGGAGAGTGTGAGAGACTGTGTGTGTGAGGGTCTGTGTATGAGAGGTTCTGTGTGCGAGGGTGTGAGAGACTGTGTGAGAGGCTGTGTGTGTAAGAGTGTGAGGAACTTTGTTAGAGGCTGTGTGTGTAAGAGTATGAGGAGCTGTGTGAGAGAAGTCGTGTATGTGAGGGTGTGAGAGACTAGTGAGAGGTTGTGTTTGTAAGAGGCTGTGTGTGAGAAGCTGTGTGTACAAGGCTGGATGAGGGTGTGCATGGAAGGTTGTGTGTGATTGTGTGTCAGAATGTGTGAGGCTGTTGTGGGGCTGTGTGCATGAGACATCTGTGAGAGGCCCTGGGGAGTATATGCAGACTGTGTGTGAGACAGAATGGGAGTGTCACACACACACCCTTGTGTGTCAGTGTTGCTGTCAGTGAGCAGGGAGTTTGTAGGTGAGAGAGGCCTAGGCGCCAGTGTACGGCAGGAAGCTTTCACTAAGAGGCGCTTCCTGCTGCTGCCTCAGTCCCCTGGGACTTCCAAACTGCCTTAGCTGGGCCTGCTCTGAGTTTCCCATTCTTCAGAGAAGAACCTGCTGGAGCCCAGGATGGTTGTTTCTGCACACACTGCCCCCACCTAATGTGTTGGGCCTGGGGGAAGAGAGGTGCCTTGGCTGGGCTGGGCTGGGCAGGCCTGTCTGAGCCCTTCAGGGATGACAGAGGAGCTGGAGCAGCGGCTCCCTGGGCCCTTTCTCCTTTCAGGCAGCCAGGCAGAGGGGCGGGGAGGTGAGCTGAAACAGGATGAGCCCAGCTTAAAATTTCGGGTGAGATGTGGTCCCCAAAACATGAGCCAGCAAAGGATGCTGCTGAACTGGAAACATGGTGAGGGCCGTGGAGGCGCTTCCTGATGAGGAACGGTCCCACAGGAGGCCGTACGGGGGCAAGCTCCAAGGGGCAAATAGGAGTGAGTTAGGCAGTGGCAGGGGACCCTGGGCCTGGTGTGCAAAACTGCAGTGGCATGACAGCGGGCAGGGTTCTGCGGGCGCAGTCAGGGCAGCGCTGGCTCGAAACCTCTGTCCTTGTCCCTCTCTCTTGGGAGCCAGTTCAGGGATGAGCCATGGGCTTTGTCTGTGACGTGTGTGTTGTCATCAAGAACCCTGTTCTGTGTCAGGTCAGGGCCAGTGGAGGTCCCCGTGCTGTGGGCCAGAGCGTGTTCCTCATATGTGTGTGTGGGGTGTATGTGTGTGATGACATCTGTCCTCCAGAGTGACATGACCTTTAAAATGACAAGGAGGTACCAATGGTGTCCGGGCTGGGGGGAGGGGAGGCATTGTCCCCTGCCCTCCTCTGCTTGGTGCCAGGTCTCCGGCCCGCTGCCATCCCCTCCTCATGCCCTGCTGCTCCCGCTGCTCTCTCTCCTCCTGGGGATGGGCCTGGAATGGGGTTCCAGCAGAGCAGCATCCCCCTTCAGCACCCTGGAACTCTAGGGTCCGGGCATGCAGAAAGGGGATCACCTCAGCACCTTCCTGGGACTCTCCCCATCCTCTCGGAGTAGCTGAGTCCCCCTTTCGATCACGGTAACCCGCGAAGGGGTCCCTGAGCAATGGAGAGTTCTGGGCCCGGCACCTCCTCACAGTGTCCCCAATCTCCAGGGCTCCTTGTGTGCTCGAGTGGTTGCTCCGGCCATCTGCCCTCTCTCCTCCGTGCCGTG